TTAGTTGATGTGTAGTTTTCTAATAGCTGCATATCCCAAGATCAGCATTTAATTTATGTGTGAGAAAAATATATTAATTTTTTTAAAGGCAAAGAGAAAATCAAATGGTATGGGTCTACTGCATTCATTTTAGAGAAATAAATAAACTGGTAACACAAAATTCCACCAAAGGGTGAAGGCTAATGACTGTGGATCTGTTTGCTTTTAATCATTTAAATTTCACTAGGGAAAATGAAAGGAATAGTAAAATCCAAACTAAAATTGTCATTTAAAATCATGTTCTTGGAAAAAGGGGCAAGGGTAGAGATTGAGATATAAGTTGTAAAGCATGTAAAATTGATTTAGGATTCAACTGTATTCTATACTTTCCATGAGGCCATTTGAATTGGAGTATTTCTTTGGATAGATTGTGTTCTGTTTCCAAGGCGTGTATCTGCTCACACGTGGTTTGTGTGGTGATCACAGCACTGCCTCAGGCGGGTATTCTTCCGTGTGTGTGTGTGTGTGTGTGTGTGTGTGTGTGTGTGTTGGAAATATTGTATCACTAGCATGCTCCTAGCTTTCCAGGCAGCCATGAACGCATCACTGCAGGGCTCTGAATAAGAAAAAGAACTTTTACTCTGTTCAGATGGTTTTGCACTTCTATATTCCTGAGAAAAGTGACCCAAAAGCCAGCTTTCACTTTTAGCTTCGGTGAAGTATATCCTTTATGTAAAGAGTTCTCATCTTCTGAGCTTAATCAAAATGCCTTCTGATATAAATTCTCATGCAAGCTAATTAGCCTCACTCTCTTCTAGGGTCTTATCTACATCTATGGCTAGCTCTTCTGAAAATACTTACCACTGGTTTGTAAAGAGAATTATGCTAGAAAGTGTGTTAGGCTAAGGAAAAATTCATCCTTGCTACCAGTAAAACAACTCATCAGTTTATGTTCTATTGTTGCAAATGACACTTTCTCATTAGGAGGGCAATGTGGAAAAAGAACAGTGTGTAATACCCAATGAATTCTGATCAACCTTATAGTGAATGATTTACTCTAAAGAAGAACATTGAACAGATAGAATTTGGGGTTACTTAAACTCTCTTGGAAATATCTTTCCTTTGTGTTGTGGTTAGGAGGCCAAACACCTAGTCAAACTTCTCTCACAAGTGAATAATCAGCACTTTCCAAACTTAACTCACATCCTTTAGATATGGTCAAAATCCCTAACAAGGACATGTTATTAAGCTAATCTCTCAGTCAGATAGATAAACCAACAGGTTTGTGGGAATGACCAAATCAACAAGGGCACAATTCATCAGACTTTGGAGTAAGCTTCTATTATTGAAGTCATTATGTGCATTAAGAATTATCTGAAATGTAGTTATAGTAATTATTCTTTAAGTTTCTTGGGATTGGTAGTCCCCCCAAATAATAAAAATTTTATTTTTGCTCAAAAGTATCATACCTATACAAGCTCAAACAATTACATTCATGGAAATATATGTAGATGAAAGCCTATATATCTCTCTAGAGAGTTAATTATTTATTGAAATAAAGAAAAAAGAACCTCAATGTTGTCTCTCACTTAGAACCCTCTAGGAGTTTGGTCAGTAAGTCAGAGAGTGGAGCATTTGAAAATATCAATGACTCTGTCTCCATAATTTATAATTCCAATATCAGTTCATTCTAGGCCATGTGTTCTTTTTTGTCTTCTGCAAGGCAAGAGCTGAAGGGAGTTATGGTGCCTGTATGCATGTGTGTGTGTATGCATTTAATTAAGTGTATTAAGAAGGGAGCCATCTCATATTAACTGTGTAGATATTAGCAGGTGAATGCATCAGGAAAGTGGTTCTTAAGCGTAGTGACTAGAAAAAGTTTTAAAAAATGTAAAAGACCACAGACATAGGGTATAACATTAAGGTGGTTTGAGGTTTGTGTAAAATTTAGAAGTTGATAAAGCTTTAGGGAACCCTTTCTCTTTAATGGAAACACAAATGAAGCAGATGAGTAATGTGGCCAAAGATTTAGGATTATATTTTCCACTTTCAGCATTTTGATTTCCTTATTTTTAGTGTAGCAAATTGCTGTGGTTAATGCTTGAGTGTTCATATTAATGTTTAATGGAAATTATTTAGTATAATTTTTCTTTTAAAAATGTGATTTTAAAAGATTTGCTGCATGCTTAGATATAATTTTATTATATTGAGGAGCCAAATTTTTGTTCCCAACAGAATATATCTGTGACTATTAGACCGTGGGAAAATAGTTCATGGAAAATTGTATTCCCTCAATAGGCCTTTGCTTTACAGACTTTCTGCTTGTGGAGTCTCTGCCTTGTTAGGTGAGAGATATTCTCATAGAAACACAAGCACAGTTACTTGGCCTGCGTATTTGAGCAAAAACACGCTTATTGAATGACTGCATGTAACTGGTAAGAGAAAAACTTCTGTAAATAGTGTCACTGCCTGAAATAATATTCACAAAGATTGCCTATGTACCTAAAAGAAAGTAAGTGCTAAATACATCTTCCAACCTGTGTAAGCACATGCTTATCTTGTGTGTGTGTGTGTGTGTGTGTGTGTGTGTATATGCACCATAGCCATGTGATACAAGCCATAACAACCATGACTTCCCTCGTCCTCACAATACCAATGCATTTGTTTAGGAGCAAAGAAAGATTACAACAAATTAACTTGCTCTTTTGGGTCTCATACATTTGGAAATGTTCTTCATGTCTGCCTTATTTTTAATGAAAATATATCTATGCTTCTAAATCATCAGTTTCTCTTTTTCCTCCAAAGCTACTTTATGATTCTGAAATAAAAAATCAGGTTGAAAATGAAATAATTATGTCCCTTTATATAAGAGATCATGTCTGAGGTGAAGAAGCATGTAGTTCTTTTTGGGGGGTGTGGCTTACACAAAAGTTTTATATCTCCTTTTGAAGAACAAATCAGAATATGTGACTAGGCTGTAAGAGGTGTGTCAGGCCAAATTATGGCTGCCAAGGATGTCTATGTCTGTAATCCCCACAACCTGTTAGTATGTTACTCGATGTGGTGAAAAAGACTTAAAGTTGGAAATGGAATTAAGGTTATTAATCAGCTACCTTAAAATAAAGAGATTATCCTGTATTAACCAGATAGACCCAATGTAATCAAAAGAGTCCTTAAAGGTGGAAAAGACAGGCAAAAGAGGAGGTCAGAGTCATGCAATGAAAGAGAGAGAGAGAGAGAGAGAGAGAAGCTTCCCAGAATATTTGACAATTAATATCCTAACCCAGTCGACCTTAGTGGAAAAAGACTCAATTATGCAGTATTGGTTGAGGAATAGTTTTGCTGTAAAAAAGCTTGTATTTGTTATGATTGAATGTGATTCAGGTAACCCCAGTGGGCTAGCAAGATCAGATATGAGTCGAGATTAGACTGGGTTTGCATGACCAATAACCTTTCCAATTTAACAGAATAAATAGTGCTTCTATGTGTGCTTAAGATATTGACATTATCTAAACCAGAATGAATTCTCTTTGAAGGAACAGGAGGACTTTTTAATATCATGGTAAGGGAAACCTGTTATGTAATAGCATTTTATCATCTGGATTCAGACATACCAAATGCATAGTGTAAAAATCTGCTAGGATTAGCCTATGTTGCAGAGGGTAGTTCTGTCTTGCTGTTCTTACACTGTAACAATGTCCCATTGTGTAGTTTAGGAATAGAATCTAATGTAAAACTACAAGATTATATAAAAGCATGGTCATTTTAAATTTTTTCAGTTTTTAAGTAATGAGTTCATTATGTGTATTAATATATATAAATATTTCTCTTATGGCTGCATCATCAATAGATTAATAATGCCAGACTTTTAAAGGAGCATTTACAAAATGAAATAATTTTTGAATGTTTCAAAGTCATCTTTTTTTTTTTTTGAGACAGAGTCTCACTTTGTTGTCCAGGCTAGAGTGAGTGCCGTGGCGTCAGCCTAGCTCACAGCAACCTCAAACTCCTGGGCTTGAGTGATCCTTCTGCCTCAGCCTCCCGAGTAGCTGGGACTACAGGCATGCGCCACCATGCCCGGCTAATTTTTTATATATATATCAGTTGGCCAATTAATTTCTTTCTATTTATAGTAGAGACGGGGTCTCGCTCTTGCTCAGGCTGGTTTTGAACTCCTGACCTTGAGCAATCCGCCCGCCTCGGCCTCCCAAGAGCTAGGATTACAGGCGTGAGCCACAGCGCCCGGCCCAAAGTCATCTTTAGGTAAAAGTGTCAAACTATCATTAATGGTGATTTGGAATATGTTAATCCTTTCAAGTATTTTTTAATGTTACAAAGTAAAAAATAATAAGAAAGACAACAAACATGCATACTTGACAAGTATTTTAGCTTTTCCATATAGGCAAAAATATACACTAGGACACTGTCTGAAGGGAGTATGGTTGATGGAGCAGGTAAAGTGTCTTAATTTTGTGGGTCACAAACTCCTTTGAAAGTTTGATGAGATCTATGGGCCCTTTCCTTAGAAAAATGTACACACACACAAACACACACACTCTTTTGTCTGTAATATACTATCTCTGAGGGCTTATAGATCTCCTGAAGCCCATATGTGAACTTCCTAAGGTTAATAAACTGTTGTTCTTTAAAACTTTGTAGCTTTCTTGTCTGGACTACAATGGCACAATTAACTCGAATTTTAGGATTCTTCGGAGATTCCAGGAATCTGGTACTTCCATATTGTAAGGAATGAATTATTTGGGACATACTTTAATTTCAAACTTTATCCCATTTATGATCTAACCTCAGATGAAGTCTAAGTAGTTATTGCTGCTTAAAGTCTAGAGTTTTAAAGAAAGCAGAACATTTTAGATGGGAAATGACTTTGAGGACTCAAGAGTTAAAGAATTTAGATAGAACTAAAGATTACAAAGAGAGCAGATTCTGATTTTCCTGATCAGATTTCTGAGTGAAATTTCAAGTAATTAGGAAAGAATAAGGAAGTACTTGGTGATCCTTACCACTGTGTCATCCAGACAGGCAGGGTTGCGTGTACAGATGTAGCTGGAGGTTCCAGAGGAACAGGAGAAGGTTCTGAGAACCTGCCACTGAAGTCCTGGACAATGGATTTAGAGAATGTTTGGTCAAGAGGAGGGGGTGGGGATTGACCAAGCAGTGGGCTTTGTGGCTGTGGCTGCCTTGATCTTGAACCTTGATCTTTTGGAGGCAGGCAATTTTTCATGCACTTCTTCACTAGGGTTGGGACAAGAGGCAAGCCAGATTGAGTGTACAGAGAGGAACAAGCCTGCAAATCTGGCGAGGATGGAAGAGCAGTGCTAATCTGAGGACCCCCCAAAGTGTGTAATGCACTGTTTTAGAAAAGCACATGGATTTATCTACACAGTTTATATGTATCTAAATGAGGTCATCTATGTTAGTAGGCAAACCCTACTGTAGTCTAATGTAATTTACTTCGTGGAACTCTTCTGGATCACCCCTTATCCTAATCAAAATTATTAGTAATGTGGCTGAGATTCCAGCTGAGATATTCCTCTCTCTATGATCTAAATGAGTTTGAATTTCTGATGACCTTGGATGACATTTTATCTTTGATGAAGATTTTTGTTACTTCCTGAGGGATTTCATAGGGGATTCATGTCTTCAACTCCAAGATTTTGTGTTCTTTAACCTTGTTCTGGCATTCACCCACACATGGAACTCTGCCTCTTTCTTTGCTCTGCATGCATGTGTGCACCTGCACACGAGCACACACACGTGCATACTCATGCTCACAAAGATTCATCTTTGAAACAAAGCTTTATGGTGTAGAACTGACTTTACTGATGGTATGGGGACACACAGGTTTTAATATATTTCAGCAATTTTTTTTTTTGAGACAGAGTCTCACTGTGTTGCCCGGGCCAGAGTGCCATGGCATCAGCCTAGCTCACAGCAACCTCCAACTCCTCAACTCAAGTGATCCTCCTGCCTCAGCCTCCCAAGTAGCTGGGACTACAGGCATGCGCCATCATACCTGGTTATATTTTTTTCTATTTTTAGTTGTTTGGCTAATTTCTTTCTGTTTTTAGTAGAGACAAGGTCTCGCTCTTGCTCAGGCTGGTCTCAAACTCCTGAGCTCAAGCAATCTTCCCGCCTCGGTCTCTTAGAGTGCTAGGATTACAGGCGTGAGCCACCCATTTAATTGAGAATTAAGTAGACAACAGTCTGTATGTTGGGGGCAAATGAGGCTGAAGTCTATCTAGCCTTATTGCTCCACAAGCCACAGATCAGTGCATGGGACTATGCCCCAAGGAAGAGTTCTCTTTTAAACACACACACAAAGATAGCATGCAATCTAAGTGCCAGCACTTTTGCTGAGCTCACTCAGAGGCAGCATCTTTTTGGACTTTGTACAAAGGTCCATGTAGGCTAGCAGCAGCTCTGCCTGTGTTTGAGTCCTCTGGCCACTCTGCCATGTTGCTCAGCCATTCTCCCTCTGGAGGCAGACTGCTTAGGTTTGAATCCTGTCTTTGCCACACACTAGCTGCATAACAAAGGGCAAGTTATTTAACCTCTCTCTCATTTTCCTCATCTGTAAAATAGGAATAATAAAGGCTCCACCTACTTTATAGGGTAATTGTGGGCATTAAACGACGTATAAGCATGTAAAGTGCTTAGAAACAGTACCTAGCCCACAGTGCTCTATAAATGCTAGTCATTAATATTCTCCTAAATATGTCATTTTATGCAATGAATGACAATATTTTATTCATGTAATAAAATTTCTAGTAGTTTCATGTTACTGACAGAATAAAGTTCCAGCACCTCAACCTGACATTTAAAGTCTGCTCCCCACACCCATCCAGTTATATATCCTATACAGCTCTCTCCTTTGACATCCAATAAAGTCTCTGCTTTAGCTACAATGGGCTACTCACTGATAGCTCTATTTTGCCACATCCACTTACAACTCTAAGCCTCCTTTCATGTTGCTAAACATACCTGATAGGACAATTCACATGACATAGTCTCAAAAGATTCTTGTTAAATGCACCTGAAGGTCAAGCAAAAAAAAAAAAAAAGAAAAGAAAAAAGAAAAACCTTCTCCAGTGATGAGTGAAAAAATTCTGGGAGAGAAATCTGAGTTCCTTAGCCAGTAGTAAAGGAGCATTTAAATAAAAGGCTTTTATTGGGGCATTTATTACCTTTTAATACAGTATGCTCACCATAGTACATCTACCTATAAGCTCAACTACAAGGCAAAAATCTGCCCCCAATGCTTTTTTCCTAACACTTTTCCATTAAATTAAGGTACCAGTGTCTCTGTTAGAGATATCTGAATTTTAACGAAGGATTAAAACCTAAAAATATATGGTGTTACAAAGACTGACATTTTAGACTTTAACCGAGGAATGAAATATGTAATTTTTTTACTAGTTGCCTTCAAATATCACCCTTTGGGCTGTTGCTTAATTTGCAGGAACATGAGCATAGTTTGAATGTTAATTAATGAAAGAGAAAAATGAAAAAGATAAAAGAGGAAGGGCATCCTGACCCCTAGTGTTTATTTTTCTGCCCATCTTCACTGGTAGTGATTGTGCTGCTGCTTCAGACTATTTAATTGGTCCCTTTTCCATCTGTATGACCTAGTTCTTTCTGTTTTGTGACTATCACTTTGGTGAAGGAGAGAGAGGCTAAATGCCATTGATTTCCTTCTTTGATTTTGGTGATTATTTTCTATGCCCAGAGGAAAAAGTCATCTGAGAAGCAATCTCAAAAGCGGCTAACAATCTGGCAAGGAATTCAGAGAGCAGATGAAGCTAGTGAGAAGTTTTTAGGTGCCCATGGGTAAATTAAACGGTTGGGTTACCTGACCTTTTGCTTTTGAAGCTGGCATCCTGACAGAGCTTCACACAGCCAGGCAGAAGGTCTCTGTGGTCCTGACCAGGGGAGATACTCATCCATAGATCTCCTCAAAAGCATCGGGCTGGATGTAGCAGACCTGTGTTCCATTCTGAGCTCCATCAATAGGTCTTTTAACTGCTCGATGTCTTCATTTTTCATATCCGTAAAGTGAAGGGACATTCATTGAAATATTTATCAAGCACTAGGCATTGTTTTAAGTGCTAGGGATATGGCAATGAACAAAAGTGGCAAGATTCCTGCTGTTTGTGTGTTGGAGTGGGGAGTATGCTGGGAATGGAGATGTTCAATAGACCAGCAATTTAATACTGAAGAAAATTTCAGATTCCGATAATAGCTATGGAGAGAAGAACCGTGGGTGGAGTGCTAGAAAGTGACTGGCAGGGTGGGATTGGGGAATGCCTCTCTGAGGAGACTGACATTTAAGTTATACCAAATGATGAGAATTAGCTATGATGTTGGGCAGCAGTTTCCAAGGAGAAGGCAGAGTGGGAGCAAAGAAAGACTCTAAGGCAAAAATCAGGTTAGTGTCTTTGAGGGACTGGCAAAATGCCAATGTGAAGAGAATGAAAAAAGAGTGATAAGAGATGTGATTAAAGAGGTGGGCAGGGGCATGGAAGACCTTGTTGGAATTGTAAGGAGTTTGAATTTATTCTTATCACCATGCAAACCCATTAGATCAGTATTTGTTGTCCAATAGAAATACAATGCAAGCCATATGTGTAACTTAAAATTGTCTAGTAGCCACGTTAGAAAAGTAAAAAGAAACAGATAAATTTAACGTGTGTTATTTAACTGAAGATATAAAAATTAACATTCTTTCATCCATAATATACTTATTTGCTCAATATTAGCATATACATAATTTCATAATTGCTAACCTGCAAAAACCAAATTTATTAACAAGAGTACATTTTTTTTTACTTTAACCTTGTAGTATCCAGTCCAAATGCTGTTTTCCAGAAAAAATTATAATTTTGACATGTAATCACTATTAAAATTATTAGTGAGATATTTTACATTCTGTTTTTTTGGGTTAAGTCTGAAAGCCAGTGTATATTTTACATTTTTAGCATATCTCAATTCAGAGGCCAAATTTTCATTAGAAATACTTAAAATCTGCATTGAAATTTCATAAAATTTACAATTGAAATAGTAGAGTCACATATCCAAGTTGTTTCAGATATACTTAAATGCTCCCCAATCATTGAATTAAGTATCAATTTTAAATTTTAAATTAATTGAAATGAAATGAAAACTAAAAATTCCGCTCATCAGTTGTACCAGATACTTTTCAAGGGTTCCATGGGCACAAGTGGCTAGTGGCTGTCATTGGACAGCACAGCACAGCACTCTTAAGCAGAGAGTGACAGAAGTTGACTTGTTTTAGAAGGATCACTGGTTGCTGTGTAAAAACTGACCGAGTCAGAGAAAACATGGTTGTGGGGGATCAATTAGACAGAGGTCGGCAAACATTTTCTGTAAAGGCCTAGGTAGTAAATATCTTCAGCTTTGTGGAACATGCTTTGAGCCTCTGTCTCAACTACTCAGCTCTGCTCTGGTAAAGCAAAAGCAGCCATAGGCAATGCATGAAAGAATGAGCATGGCTGTGTTCCAATAAAACTTTATTGATGGACACTGGAATATGAATTTCATACCATTTCACATGTCATGAAATATTATTATTCTTTTGACATTTTAATAATCATTTTTAAAATGTAAAAACTATTCTTATCTTTCAGGACTTACAAAAAGAAGGAGCAAAACAGACTGTGAGCTGGAGTTTCCTATCCCCTGGATTAGGACTCTAGGGCAGCAGCCCAGATGGGAGGAGTTGGTGCCGAGGAGCCCAGGGAGGGATGGGGATTCTGTGATAGAGCAGGCTGGTTCTGCTGATTGTCTGTGTGGGTGTGGGATGGGGGAAAGAGGAAAGTCAAGAATGAAGCCAGCCGTGAGACTTCCTTTTGAGCCTGACCAGATGATTTTTAAAGCGTTCTTTATTGCCAAGGATTTGTGATCTATGTATGCTCTTTCAGTAAAATCCATTTTTTGGGCCAGATTTTGGAATGATGCTCTTCCTCCTTCTGGAGAGGATGTATTCCAGAATCCGGAAATTGCAAACCTGGAGACTTTCTCTGCTGAAGGGGTGTTGTATATTTCACTTCACTGACAGCCTCATTAAGCCA